CGATACTTTGATGAGCTAGAAATCTTTCATTTGTGTTTGAATCGATTCAAGTCATAAGGAAAAACAATAGAACTCTTCGGGGAGCTACCAGAACTCTAAGGAAATTAACCGATTTAAAAAAAAAAATTTTCTGAGTCAATTAGAACATTTTTTTTCGAAAAACGATCAATTTCTTTAGAGCTCTAGTAGCCCCCCGAAGAGTTCTATCGGTTGTCCTTAACGAAAATTTATTTTCAGAAACCTGACGTTTCATTCAGAATTCTGGTTAGCGCTTCACGAGTTCTGAAGATTATTATCATTAACACTCGGTGCGCTAAAACCAAAACTGAAAAAGTTCTCGCCGATTTTCGTCCCCCGAGTCGAATATTTCCATGTTCCTCGGATCGAAAATTTATTTTCGGAAATCCGACGTTTCATTCAGAGTTCTGGTTAGCCCCTCACGAGTTCTGAAGATTATTATTAACACTCGGTGCGCTGAAACCAAAATTGAAAAAGTTCTCGCCGATATTCGTCCCCCGAGTCGAATATTTCCATGTATCTCGGATCGAAAATTTATTTTCGGAAATCCGACGTTTCATTCAGAGTTCTGGTTAGCCCCTCACGAGTTCTCAAGATTATTATTAACACTCGATGCGCTAAAACCAAAATTGAAAAAGTTTTCGCCGATTTTCATCCCCCGAGTCGAATATTTCCATGTCCCTCGGATCGAAAATTTATTTTCGGAAATCCGACGGTTCATTCAGAGTTCTGGTAAGCTCCTCACGAGTTCTGAAGATTATTGTTAATACTCGGAGCGCTAAAACCAAAATTGAAAAAGTTCTCGCCGATTTTCGTCCCTCGAGTCGAATATTTCAATGTCCCTCGGATCGAACAATTTTTTCGGAAATCTGACGTTTCATTCAGAGTTCTGGTTAGCCCCTCACAAGTTCTAAAGATTATTATTAACATTCGGTGCGCTAAAACCAAAATTGAAAGAGTTCTCGCCGATTTTCGTCCCTCGAGTCGAATATTTCCATATCCCTCGCATCGAAAATTTATTTTCAGGAATCCGACATTTCGTTCAGAGTTCTGGTTAGCCCCTCACGAGTTTTGAAGATTATTATGAACACTCGGAGCGCTAAAACCAAAATCAAAGAACTCAAAACTGAAATTAAAACTGAAAAGACTCGGCGACTTTCGTCTTTTGGGCGTCGGGACCAATTATAATTATCACGTGTATTAATTTACTTATAATTATTATATATATATCTATAATTTTACTACTTATACTAATATTACTTATATACTAATATTGCTTAAGACGTACTTATACTAAAGCTTACTACATTTTTTTTTTAGAACCTTTTTCTTATTTTTTAGGACATATTTATACTAAATCTTATTAAATTTTTTTTTCTTTAGAAACTTTTTTATTTTTTTGTATGTGTATCACACACTTACTACATTTTTTTTTAGAACTTTTTTCGTATGTGTATCACACATACAAAAAAATAAAAAAAAGTTTCTAAAGGAAACGAAAAGTATTTAATAAGATTTAGTATAAGTATGTCCTAAAAAACAGGTTCTAAAAAAAAATGTAATAAGCTTTAATATAAGTACGTCTTAAGCAATATTAGTATATAAGTAATATTAGTATAAGTAGTAAAATTAGAGATATATATATAATAATTATAAGTAAATTAATATACGTAATAATTATAATTGGTCCCGACGCCCAAAAGACGAAAGTCGCCGAGCCTTTTCAGTTTTAAATTTCAGTTTTGAGTTCTTTGGTTTTGGTTTTAGCGCTCCGAGTATTAATAATAATCTTTAGAACTCGTGAGGGGCTAACCAGAACTCTGAATGAAACGTCGGGTTACCGAAAAAATTTTTCGATCCGTGGGACATGGAAATATTCAATTCGAGGGACGAAAATCGGCGAGAACTTTTCTAATTTTGATTTTAGCGCTCCGAGTGTTAATAATAATCTTTAGAACTCGTGAGGAGATAACCAGAACTCTGTATGAAACATCGGATTTCCGAAATAATTTTTCGATCCGAGGGACTTGGAAATATTCGACTCAAGGGATGAAAATCGGTAAGAACTCTTTCAATTTTGGTTTTAGCGCACCGAGTGTTAATAATAATCTTCAGAACTCGTGAGAAGCTAACCAGAACTTTGAATGAAACGTCGGATTTCCGAAAAAATGTTTCGATCCGAGGGACATGGAAGTATTCGACTCGGGAGACGAAAATCAGCAAGATCTCTTTCAATTTTGGTTTTAGCACACCGAATGTTAATAATAATCTTCAGAACTCGTGAGGGGCTAACCAGAACTCTGAATGGTACGTCGGATTTCTGAAAAAAAATTTTCGATCCCAGAGACTTGGGAATATTCGACTCGAGAGATAAATATCAGCGAGAGCTCTTTCAATTTTAGTTTTAGCGCTCCGAATGTTAATAATAATCTTTAGAACTCGTGAAGGGCTAACCAGAACTCTGAATGAAACGTCGGATTTCCGAAAAAAAAAATTTTGCGTATTCAATAAACAATCAATTTTTTTGAAAATCCGATGTTTTATTCAGAGTTCTGGTTAGCCCCTCACGAGTCCTGAATATTATTATTAACACTCGACGCGCTAAAACCAAAATTGGTAGACTTCTTGCCATTTTGCGTATTCTAATTCGAGAATTTTAAATATAATTTTTCTTATTGTTTTAAACAGAACTATTTTTAAAACTTATCTAGAACTATAGAGCTATTAAAAATCTATTTAGAACTCGAAAAAAAATTTGCATTTTTTACATAATGAGGGGCGTCGTGAAGTTGGCTCTCCGATTTTTAAAATAGTATTTTCTCTACTTTAAATGACGGAACTCTTTTTATAAAGGATTGCGAACTCTAGAACTCTGCGAGGGGCATTCAGAATTCTAATAATTTTTTTCAAATTTGAAGAATGAGGAACCAACTTCACAGAGCTCCGGTGCGTCCGTGCCACGGAAGGGGTTAAATACTTAAGAAAATTTTACTAACTTTTCAACAGATAACTTATGATATCTCGCTAACTACTTGTCGAAAGAAAAAATAGCACTATACTTTTTGTTCTATTTAGTCTCAAGGGTACATTGTTATAGTGTATATTATTAGAATAGCGCCCTGACTTTTGTTAACTTGTCGACTTTTGAAAATTTTTAAATCATCAAATTAATAAAAGTTAGGGCACCATTATAATATACTCTTGAGACTAAATGGGGCAAAAGGTCTAGTACTATTTTTTCTTTTGATAAGTAGTTAGCGAGATGAGTTAAATGTTGAAAAAGTTAGTAAATTTTTCTTACATATCTCAAAAAATATTAGGCAAATAAAAAATGTTTCAGACAGAAGTTGTTAAAATTAATTGGTAGAAAAAGATGATATAATAAAACATTGGAGCTTCCATTTAAAAAGTAATGATCAGTGAATATCCCGAAAGTGGCGCCATCTGTAAACAAAATGATATATTTGTTTTATGTTTCCTTTGAATCCATATAACTTTTGTCTGAACTGTTTCTTAGTATCTTTCTTAGTATCTTTCATATTTTTCAAGATTTTTGCCTGACTCATTTAAAATGGGACACCCTATATATTATAGAGATAAGAAGAAGAGTTAGAGAAGCGATTTACAAAAAGAATCAAGTACGAGACGGCATTTATGTGTTAATAATTATTGTGGAAATATAACAAAATAATGTTTAACATTTTGATATTCAATTCCTTGCACTTCCACTATTAAAAAATCTAACCTTATCCAATCCTATGCTATATCAATTATATAGAATGTCTGAGAAATTTTTGATCAACCAATTTGTGCAGGTAGAACGGTGAAATTGAACAATAATGTAATATAAAATTTTCCAGGAATCGCAATAGTTATTGAGTTATTAATTAAAACGTCTGGACCAATGAGTGCACGGGAAACGGTAGATTGGACTCGATAGAAGTATAAAGACAATAGACAAGACAAATGACTTACTTCTGAATATTCGTAGCAAAAACAATTAGATGATTGCATGAAGCAGGTCAACACACAAAATCCTTTCCTCGTCCTCAACGGCATTAGCGCACCAGCTATGCTCTATAGTTATGCATTAAACACCCAGTTTCACGTCCTTTTGTACTACACATAAAATCACTTTTCTCGACGAACGTCTTGCACACCCAGGAAATCATTCCGTATAGATGCGAGCTGCGGCACACATATTTCCGCCCGCTAGCCGGTAGGCAATAATGATATCAATGTATTCCTTTGGATTAAATTTCATTTTTTGTCGCGGAGGATCCTAATGCGTATCAAACAACTTCACGCGACTAAAGACGTGTCCGTCAGATACATGCAGGTCGCAAGATACGGTGATCATCTTTTGTTTATGATCGTCGTCTACGACAATAATCCGATGATGATACTGTTTGTATTTAAATAAATTATATAATTATTATATTGCTTATTGAAATTAAGAATAAAGATTAAATGCATGTGTAAAATATTGGAATAATCGGATATTAAATAATTCTTACACAAGAACGCTTCTTGATACTTCAACGTGGAAAAAACAACGTGGAGCAATAAGTAGTAGTAATAGCAATGAGTAAAGTAAAAAATAACCAAAATAGCAAATCTTCCGGAGTTTCAGCTATTCATTAATCGAAATTCTGACGTGATGGAGTAATTTAGAGGATAGGATTCATCTTCAACATTCAAAAATCTATAAGAAATTAGTTTATTTGTTCTTGCAACTCTGAGAAAGTCAAATTATATATAGATTTATGTAATTTGTATAGAGTGTTTTATTCTGAAATTCTTTATAGATTTTTCGAAGTCTACAATATTGACATGGTTCATATAGAAACAAAATTTCGACTCAAATATGTTTATCGATAAAATTAATATTGAAAGGAGCTTGCTCCAAAAGAATTAATTCCGCAGAAATACCAAATCGTATTTCAAATGAAACTTAAACTTGTTCTTTCCCAATTTCTTAGAATGCCTCAACATACAACCAAAGAACGCAACCACCGTTACAACTTCTGTCGTTCCCGACGAGGAATCCTCGAAAGAACAACCGAACAATGCACACGCGAACAACGTGACAACAGTGATAACACCAACAACAGACGTTACCAACTGTGCCACGATAATACCTGCCACGACAGACTACCCGACATCTATCACACGAATGGAAACGACTGTCGTGGCCGTGTGCTCTACGTCTGCGACATCTCTGACGACTTTATCCCCGACAGTATCAATTGTCTCTTCAAACGAAGAGACGAAGACGACGACGACGACGGTAACGATGACGACGATGGCTTCCTTGCTTCCGTCGAATGTGCAAACGGCCTCCGAAGAGTCCGAGGAATTTATATCAACCTCGAACATTATGACGGTTCACCAACCACCATCTGGAGAATCGTCTCCGTCATCAAACACGTCGACATCGTATCACTTAGAAAACAATACCAGGACACAGAATACTATGAACTCAGAACATTCTCAGCCTGACTCCAGGATACGATTAGCTTCTTCATCCTGCGTCGCAATACCTAATCATGCGTCGCCCATGTTCAAGGACCGTTCCGCTGCAGAGACAGAGGCAGCACATGATCTTCTGGAGCTCTCCCGGTCGCTCCCACCCTTGCCGCCGCCGAGTGTTGCCATCGGTCCTCAAAGCGTGATCGAGGCACCGGCGAGTGACGTTCAGGAAATGACAGTCTATCAGCCAACCGAGCAGCCAATCTATCAGGTGAACACGATCGACCTAACTACCTCGACCATCTACAGCCATCACCATCAACAACAGCAGCAGCCAGTTGCTGCTGCTACTAGTATCATATATGACCCCAGTACCACCATTGTGCCACCTACTGGCAGCGTCTTTATACCTCTGTCACCGGTACAGGAGATCCTGCTGACATATAGTACGTCCACCATACCATGCACGTCCATCGTCGCTCAGCAGCCTCAACAACAGCCGCTACCACAACCACCGCAGCAACAACAACTGCAACAGCAGCAACAGCAACAGCAGCAGCAACCACCACCATTGCAACAGCAGCAACCGCAGCAACAGCGGATCGAAGCTGCGGCGCCGCTAACGCCACCAAATTCCGAATGTAGCAGCGACATCGAGAACAGCAACCCAAACTCGCAACCAACGCAAAAGGACAAGGAGGTGCAGACCATCACGGAGCAAACGGAAGGAGTGAAACCAGCTAGTTATACTTACGACACGTTGCTCGTCTCAGATGGTAGATCGAAAAACAGGAGCAGAAGGACGCCAGCAGCGCAAAAAAACCAGGAAACGGAAGCGGTTGAGGCACCCGAAACCTCCAAGACTGGTCGTTACGTGTGTTGCGAGTGCGGTAAGTTAAATATGTTATGAAACTCTAACATAATTTTAAACAAATAAATATAAAATATAAATAGTGAATAAATATACGTTTCTCCGCGTTAAATTGTACTTGATTGTCGAAATTTCATCAAGAATAACATCATGTTTCTCACGGTATGACCGTTAATCGCTTTTCATAAAACGAAATCTGCGCACATAACAACTCGGAGATCCAGCAGAATTGTCATATTTTCACGGCAAGTTAAAATGAGCGTTAAAGAGGACAAACATGTTATGTGCCCTCAATAGCGCTCGTTACATCGCATTGATACCCCTCTCTTGCACGATAGAAATCCTTGAGAAATGGAAATGTCAAATATCGTCAGAGACCTTTAACATCATACATCACGCATTTGTACGTTTATCTTAAACATTAATAACGAGAGAACGGAAAACGTTAATCGAAGTAAAATCGCGTAGGTACGTATCTTCTAGGTCAAATCGCAATCGTAATAAAACGCACTTACACATATTAACTCATGCAATTCCTCCATCAGGTAAGCAATACGCGACCTCGTCGAATTTATCGCGGCACAAGCAGACGCACCGCAGCATCGACTCACAATCTGCCAAGAAGTGCATCCACTGCGGCAAGGCGTACGTCAGCATGCCTGCCCTGGCGATGCACGTGCTGACACACAAGCTTACGCACAGTTGCGGCGTCTGCGGCAAGATGTTCTCGCGACCTTGGTTACTTCAGGGTCACCTGCGTAGCCACACCGGCGAAAAGCCGTATGGCTGCGCCCATTGTGGCAAGGCGTTCGCCGACCGTTCAAATCTACGAGCGCACATGCAAACGCATTCGGCCGATAAGAATTATGAGTGTCCCAAGTGTCACAAATCATTCGCGCTTAAGTCCTACTTGAACAAGCACCTAGAATCAGCATGCCAGCGCGAGACCAATGATGAGAGTAGCAACGACGTCGACACGCCGTCATAATGCTGGGACCAAAATGCCGATCTGCAAGTATGATATCCGATAACGATCAGGTGGGTTCACGATTTTCTCGCAAAAGTACCGTTTCGATTTCTTTCAAAAACCGATATTGCAAATATTCTATTACCTCCGGAAAAATTCTCTATCTCCGCACATCTGTCATACAGTCCTAATAAATTCAAATTTGTCACACCGAGAAAATTATATTCTCATTTTAAGAACTTCTCTCTTACGTTTAGAATATCCTCCTTTAACTCTTTCACTGTTGAATTAACTTCCCTTGAGGAAATTATTAAAATATTTGGTAGTCCTAAGTTTTTTGGGTCGCTGATTACGAATCTAAAGCCAGATTTGCAAAATTCAAAATAGCGGACTCAATATGGCGATCATGATGTACAAAATTAATGGAAATTCTAATTATTATTAAATAATGACCAGATTGTAATAAGAACATATGATTCTCGACAATGGAACTCAATCGAATTAGAAAAAATTTATGTGGGAAAATGTCCAATATTGCATATTTATGCTTACTAGAGATTAAACATTCATTTTTTAATAAAATAATATTGATAGTATGAATAAAATGGAGATACAGAATGCAAAAACTAGGAAAGTAGAGCTAAAAAGTGAAAAAAATCAAATTTCGGCCGTTTTTGTAGAAATATTTATTTATTAAAAAAATCTAACCTGCAAAAAAATATTGAAAAAATATATGTTTTTATACAACATCAGAAAAATATTTGGTGAAAATTTCAGACCTCTACATTCAATATTCTCCGAGGAATCGATTTTTCCCTAAAAAAAGTATTTTTTTTCAACTTTAATTTATTATAAATAATCACAAATGAATAATTGGGTATAAAAACCTATTATATTAATATGTTGAACAACTATTCAGTTACCTGGAAAACTCAAATCCTCGATTAGTTCTTCAAAATTATGTCATTTACAACGCAAAATTGAGTCAAGAAAAGGTGAGAAGTATACTTCCTACTAACTGTGAAAAGGTTAAGATATGTATCGAAAGTGTTCTCTCAATTTGAGAGAAAATTCCTTTTAATATGACCTTGAATTTTTTAAATACCAGATATTAATGTATAAAATCTATATATAATTTAAGTTATACTCGATGAGGATAATTACCGTATTATATCATATTGCAAACAGCATTTTATGAGACAAACATTTGACAGTGAAAAACATTTCGTCAACTATATATAATATAAAGAGATCTAATTAGAAACGTTAATATTACGATTAATATCAAATATCCTAGATATTAAAAAATACTTCCACTAAAAGCCGATTATCCTGTTCACCTAATTTCTATTCTAATCATCTGGTCATCTCTCTGTCCATTCTGCGTGAACATAAATGAACACTATTATTCACTATTTGTTATTCAATATTGATTCAATACGAGCACCAACACAACGCGAAAACCACACTAAACTGGTACAATAAAATCGCAATTCTCTTTATAGGTCGTTAATAATAAAAAGTATATTTTTGATTCCAGAGGATATTCTAGACACATTGGCGAAAAGAATGAAATGTTCTTCTTCATTAAAAATTTTCATATTAGGAAAGCTTGAAAAATATATAGTTCTCCTATTTCGAAAATGCAATTTTTTCGGTGTTAGCAATAATACAACTATAACGGTTTTAAGTAGGATAATGTTTACGCGGAATTTCACGATTCTATTTTCACGTTTAAAACAGTTGTTGCACGTCTGAATTAAAACAAAAGCCGTGGTAATTGATTAATTCGCAATTTGCAGCCAGTCGCACGTGACGCAAATAGAAGACTGCAGCGGTGTCATCATGCTAATCGGCAGTGCGTAAAGAAAAAAGAATAGCCTGCAGCGTATAGATGCACACTTAGATGTACACTTTTGCGTATTATGGGCTACAAAAGAGAGAAAGGGAGAAAGAGAGAAAGAGAGAATTCAAAAGAAAAAGACGAACACACATAGATATAAGGGAAACCGCTATATATCTCTGATTATCGTGAGAATACAATTGGTTTCGATTGTTTCACGCGAAATTTAAATCAGTCGAATCTATTGTCATGTTCAATAATGATAGTAAACTCTCCTTTTATCCTCGCGGGGATATACAGTCAAAAGGAAAAGTCACTCGATTTATTGTGAGAGAAATTCTATTTTGAGTAGTAAATTTGTTAAAACATGAACACGTGTGAGTATGGAACCATGAAAAGGCCGGATAAGAGTGCAGAGAGAAAGAAAGAGAAAAAAAGGGACAGAGATTCACTCTTTTGTACGCGATAGACGACAATTGGACATCGAATCTCCGGTAGCATCCAATTTCAACGGATATCTTTCAGTAAACACAAAATAATTAAATTTATTCGGCGGCTTTGGATTTCTCACGCTCTTTCTCTTACGGCAAAAAAATTTCTTCGGATATTTTACTGCGTCACTTCTTTTCGTTAAAACGCGTTCGGATATTTTTAGAATAATTTTTTTGGTTCTCTCCCTTCCTCAGTGCGAAAAGAACGAGAAAGAGAGATTCTCGCGAATTACGAATCGTAGACAACCATGACAAACAGCTCTCGTCAAATAACGTCTAAAGAACGAAAAGAACTGCGAAGACGGTATATAAAATATGCAGATGTATATTGTAAAAGTGAAAATATAAGATCAGGAAGGGGGAAACTCTTGAGGACAACAAAGACGCGCAATAATAATTAGCGAAATAACGAAATTTCCAAAGAATGTTTGCGGCTATATCAGGGGTGTCAAATTCGACTCTTATGTACCATAAAGCTGCTTAAAGGATGAAACAAAGTAGAAGCGCCGCATCCTAACCAAATGATTACGCAGATATTTTTCTCACGACGTATCTTCAAGCCATTACAATGTTAAAGTACAATATAAATTAGCGCATGATATAATAATACTGCGCTTTTTCACTCTGCTGTACCGCCTAGATACCAACGGACAACTACACGCCATTAACTTGAATCCTGACTTAAACCGGTTTGTTTTTTTTTCTTTGGTCCTTTCAGGATTAGAACTAAACCGAACGAAAAACTAATCAGACTAAAATCAGACTAAAATAAAATAAATCAGTTTCGATAAAATCTATCATCCGTTTCTTGATCATTTTTCGGAAAATGACGATGTACGTTAGTTAAATCTCATATAGGACGTGCTCGAATTTGTTTGTAAAATTATGTTCGATTCTACTAGAAGGTTTTTCTTAAAGTTTTATTTATTTACATCGCAAAACTTTTACGACTTCAAAATTACCGAGATTCTGTTTTAATGTACAGAAAAGAATGAGGGAGAGGAGAGAGAGAGAGAGAGAGAGAGAGAGAGAGAGAGAGAGAGAGAGAGAGAGAGAGAGAGAGAGAGAGAGAGTGAGAGAGAGGAGAGAGAGTGAGAGAGAGTGAGAGAGAGTGAGAGAGAGTGAGAGAGAGTGAAGAGAGAGAGTGAGAGAGAGTGAGAGAGAGTGAGAGAGAGTGAGAGAGAGTGAGAGAGAGTGAGAGAGAGTGAGAGAGAGTGAGAGAGAGTGAGAGAGAGTGAGAGAGAGTGAGAGAGAGTGAGAGAGAGTGAGAGAGAGTGAGAGAGAGTGAGAGAGAGGAGAGAGGAGAGAGAGGAGAGAGGAGAGAGAGAGAGAGAGAGAGAGAGAGAGAGAGAGAGAGAGAGAAAGAGAGAGATGAAAAAAGGAGGGAAAGGGAGGAGAAGGAAAAGGAATTCTCTTCGATTTTGTTTGGCCAGTGGAAACATCTGCGTCTGCTTCGTTAGTCATTTTAACCAAGTCCGTCGTAAAGATACACTTTGACATAGTAGAGATCAATATTTCGATATGTTTGTGCATCTCTTCTCGTGGAAAATCGATATTACGATAGCATCACAGACTCATTTTATAAATTCACGAAAACGACGAGTCGAAATGCTCTCGGAATGAGACAAAATTGGTCACAGGCGAAATAGTGCAATATATTTCTCGTATAGCTTAAGAGAGCCGCTTTTTTCATCCACTTTTGCTCGACGGTAACTTTTCGCTTGTTAACCTCCTCCGAAAGTAGAGGGGAGTATTGTCTAGTCTATTGTAAACATTTTTAGTCGTACAAATGAATATTTATTGTTTACTAAGGAGAAACATAACATAATCGTGTTGTAAGGTGAAAGCAATCTTTTATGTATTTAAAAGTGCTTCTGCACGATTTTTGCCTGGAATCCTTGACGTAACATATACGGGTACTTGCAGAAAATTTTCATCAACATTTCACGTAAACTGGACCACCTGTTGAATGCAGAAATGACCATTCGGTGGCAAAAGGGTCGGTCGTACGGTTCTCTTAAATTATGGAACACATCATTTCTCGGATGTTAAAAGCACGAACAAGATCATAGTCAATTGCAACGTTTCTCGTCAAAGTTTATCGATATTTCTTTTGTTACTTTTAGATTCGCGAAAGTTGGTCATTCTGGAAAGAGAACCGAGGAGAGAAGAGCTTTGCAAATTCAATAAACGGCATCGAGTGTACTAAAAGAAAAAATAATTCATCTCACTAGAAATTATGGTTATTTTCGTCAATTATATCTTCTTGTTCTAACAAAACTTGTTTGTTATTCTAACAAAAGAATAGTATAGTAGCACTATACATGTAAAGTTATTGTCATTAATATTGCAGTAACATTTACTATAAAAAGGTTTATCCTGATTATAATTCTTTTAGACAATTATGGTCATAAATATGAAGTATTGTTTTATCTCAATATAGCAGAGCTTTTATGTTGCATCAAAGTCATAAATGCGACTATTTTCATATTCAATCAAGTAGACGTTTGCCTTTTTGTATAAACTTCTACTACTTGACATAATTGAATGATGAGATTTGAATCATGAGATATTTTTAACAAATTTTTTCTTGTTCTATGTTACTTGGTTATACAAACTTCTAGAAATGAAATGAAGAAAGAATATTTTTGATCAATTATTATATCATATATTATTTATACATATGGTAAATCTATATAAAAAGAGGCCATTTCCAACGATTTTGATCTTTACATATAGGGCATTTGAAAAAAACCAAATCTATAGGAAATGGATCCCTTTTTGTAAAAGGTTTACCCATATTATTTATATATATATATTTTATTTATTTAAATTTTATTTAAATTTTATTTAAATTAAATTTAAATTTTATTTAAATATACTTAATTATTATTATTATTATATTATATATTATTTATTATATATTATTTATATAGAAGTTAAGCGATTCGATTCCATTCGTTTAATCGAATAAATTAATGGAAATTATTGCTCAATTTATTTCTTTAATTATTAATTACACGGAAAACACAATCTTATTAGTATAACTGAATTTTCTGTTGCCTGGAGGAGGAGGAAATAGAGAACTAAATAAAAAAAAAGAAATAGAAAAAATAGAGACCAAACAGAAAACTCGATTATAAGAACAGAAAAATTCCTGTTGAAGATTTCTAATCGGTCAATCATTTCAAATTATTCCCACTGAGTTTTAACGCAACTTAATATTCACACGACGACATAACAAATATCATTTTTCGTTACCGATTTCTTTTTGCCTAGTCCCTATTCAGTTATACAAACTGAAGTCTTTTTTGCGTGTATCGAAATCGAATTGTCATATCTAATCATACAATTATCTCATCACATCGACTGTGACGGAGAAGATGCGACTTTTTTAGCAATATGAAAAAAAATCGTGTACACACAGAATATGTATATACATACATATGTGTGTACATATGCGTGCGCGCGCACGTGTATGTGTATATGTGTACATTAATAATATCTGGTGTATCCAGAAACATATTTCATCATCTATGAGGACATTGCGCGAAAAGCTGTCGAGTAAAGAAGATGAAGGGAGCGTACATACATAGTGCGTTTCATATAGACGATACGACCTGCAATGTCATATCAAAGATATGACCAAAGAGCAGACATAAGGAACAAAGCGTGAGGGTGAAATCAAAGGGAATAGAGAAAGTACTAGTCAACAAGTTGCCTGAATTACATTCTTTTATCTTAGTTGTCTAAGGCCGTTATATGTACAGTCAAAAAAGTGACGCTTATTTTCTCGCCGTGTATACATATATATTTCGCTTGCTTACATCCTCTCTTGTATCGTCTGTAAAGCGTTTTTGATGTAACTTTAGAGATATTTTGGTACGGAACATTTTCAGCAATTATAAGATAGCGGGAAGAAAAATTAATTGAACTTTAATAATTAAACGTAGAATGTACGATATATGTTGTTCCTGTAACAACGTATACGTCGTCAAAATTGACGAGCAAGAGAAAGAGAAAGAAGGAGAAAGGGAGAGATAGAAAGAGAAAGAGAGAGAGAGAGAGAGAGAGAGAGAGAGAGAGAGAGAAAGAGAGAGAGAGAGAGAGAGAGAGAGAGAGAGAGAGAGAGAGAGAGAGAGAGAGAGAGAGAGAGAGAGAGAGAGAGAGAGAGAGAGAGAGAGAGACAGGCAGAGACAGAGACAGAGACAGAGAGACAGAGACAGAGACAGAGAGAGAGAGAGAGAGAGAGAGAGAGAGCTTTAGTGATTTTAGTTAGTACAAAAATATCAACACCAAGGGAGTAAAGCATATAAACATACTCAATTGAACGCTGAGCACAGCATTCGCGCTGCCAGAAAAGCGTGGCGATAAATCTAAGAGGAGATCGGTGTTTTTTCCGAAAATCTCCTTATCTACAACTCATTTTCCCTCCTTCTCGAGAACGCGAGATTTTATTCTTATAATTCGTCGCATCTCAGCTATGAGAGTCGTCTCGCAGAAAAGTGGATCTTCATTCTCACGAGGAGGCACGACATGCACGTAGGTCTGCGGCCATGTTTTTCGTAATATATGCAATTAACAGTCATATATATATAGGCATACTCGTCTCTATACTATATTACAATACTCAACAGTCAATCGAATCTATAATTAATAACGTAACGGTAGTCAATACTGGAAGAGAAGGAGGAGAGAAGAAGGAAAAAGTAGAGGAGAAGGAGGAAAAAGAAGAGAAGGAAGAGGAGAAGGAAGGAGTAGGAAGGAGAAAGAGGGAGAAGGAGGAAGAAGGGGAGGAGAAAAACAAGAAAAAAAAGACGGATGTACATGATCTACAATCACTTCCCATTGATTCTCACGTGAATTTTATGGAGAGTACGCGTATGTTAAGGCACTGTTGACCGTAGTTTCTTAGCGTCGCAAGAAAAAAGTGTGAAACGTCGTTTAGTGGTATGATTTCGCATAGTTCGCGAATATGATTTTTTCTTTTTTTGAAACTTTAGCAGCATTTCCTTTCTATAAAAAGACATCCTTAAAATCCCATAAAGCAACATTCTTTCTATAAAATAAAGTGATTCAAGTTTTTGTCGATGAATCAATTATCATCCGAAGTGATATTCGAATAACGATATTTTTGATTAAAATTCACGATAGACAAAGCAGCTCCATTTGACTTTTACATGTGTCATCAAACTTATTGTTTTCAGCAGAATTTAAAAAAATATTTAACCGTCGCTCATGATTGATTAGAAAATTATTAACAAATAAAGTTGAACATGTAAGCGAATGTTAGATACAATAATCTGTTCTATTTAGTACTATTATCTTTAAAATTATCTTTATAGAAATTATTTTTTGAACGGCAAAAGATACGAGTCACAAATTAAGATCTTATGTAGAGATCTTATTAACTTTTTCAAAATGTTTAATATTTGTATATGATAGATTAATTAACTTAGAAAAGCGAAATATTGAGCAACAGAATTACATTAAATACTTACACATAAACAGGTATACACCATGCTGTTTGCTTTGATTTTTTTTATAATGCCTTTGTGTACTCTAGCTTTTGTAACGGCTATAGTATAATATTGTTCAGTATCTCAATCTACGTTTTCTTCTTTTCTTTAGCAAAATGAAAATAATATTACACAAATTTATTAATCTCACATAAATCTCAATTACATAAATGTGTACGCTATATTTACATACCAAAAATGTTATTTGTGATAAAATAGTCTACAATGCAAAAATACCACCGAATTACAATATGATTCACCGTCATTTATGCTGCACTGTACTAGAATTTTAGAATATCCATATATATATAATCGATATGCGATATACGGTTGCAGAAATAAAAAACATATAATTCTGAAATTAGTACGTTTCATAAAATTAGTTTGAAAATTATATTTGCTACTTATTAAAACATACTGCTTTATTGATTATCTTTTAATGATAAATTCTTCATCTATTTTCATACATGAACTATAAATATCATTTGAAA